TTGTGCTCTTTGTCACAGGAAACGTTCATTTCTGCAACCAAGAATTGTCATGAATGTAACTTGTTCATGACAGGTAAAAACAGAGGTAATAATAATAATTGGCTAAATAAACTTGAGAGGCTTTTAAGTTTTGAGTCATAGATTAAGTAAGGGATGAGACAAGATGCCATGCTAGAATAGCTGGAAATTCAGTGTCATAGGAAACAGGACTCTCATCTGAATAAGTGATCTCCATGCTATAAAACCCAAAAGGAAAGTGGATCCTTGGGTTTTATAGTTGATATTACTTTTGCTTTGTAAAGTTTCACTCACTGGGAAAGTGAATCCTGCAGTAAAGCCAGCCTCGATTATGGAAATAATTAATAATTTCCATAATGATTATTTTAATAATTATTTTAATGATTAATCAAAATTCATTTTAGATGTAACTTTTTATGATTAATATCATATGATGGGAGAGACCTGACCCATAGAGTCACCAAGAGTCAGATACAGCTGAATGGATAACCTCATCATGAAGTATATCTTAACTGTAGAGACAAGCTGGACAAATTAAATGCTTTCCAATTCAATGTATATCCCAGCACAAAGATATTCAAAGACTACCTGTTTGAGATGCACTCCCAAGCCAGTACCTAAAGAACTGCAGCTTTTTTAAAACCAGATTGTGCCCCAGGATACTTTTAATTCACCAGTCAACTTGACCTACCCCTCCTGATTATCTTGGCTTCTTCAGGCAATGCTATATTGGTGGTACTATAGCAAGAATTTCTAAGGTCATTTCAAGCAATATAAAATAAAGAAAATGCAGCTATGGAAAAAGAACCCCCAGTAGAAATTAATCTTAGACTCTATTTCTGGCCTATAAGAATAGAAGAAACGTTGCAGCTAGCTAGCAAAAATGCAGGGTTGACAAATGAATCCATTTATGGTCCAGATTTTGGACTTCTTGGCCCTTAGTCACCAATGACACCCAATTTATCCCTTCATTATATGAACAAACAAACACAGAAGTAAGTGCTAGACCTTACATCTTTGTTACTTTAGGCCACAGGTGAAGACTTATGACTGCATCTCATAAATCTGATTACTTTCCCATCACCCTGAGTATGCACTATACAGGGACATCTGTCAGTGTTAATCAATACATGGAGTGTTAGTCCTGGATGATAAATTTGAAAGGGATTATAACAGTAAACAGTGATCAATAGAGATTTTGCTGGAGGAGACATGAAGGAAGAACTACCTTAAAAGTGTTAGGAGGTTAATAAAACAAGGTGGTCAGTATTAAACAAAAACTCCGGTGAGACCCACTTATTTCTCTGTTCTCTTTTCAGGAGGAGAAAAAAAACAACAACAACAAGAACAACAACCAGACCCAGCAATTTTCACCAAGCAATTGCTACTAAAAGGGCACATTATTAATTTAGAACATATTTGCTGATCCCTCTGTTTGTAAGTCATATTCTCCATTAGCACTCAATGGAAGAAGGTTTGCTGGCTATGAGCTAGCATCACTGAAGCTCCTGAGACTCCCCTTTGCTTCTTTTCTCTTTCCTTTCTACAATTTCCCCTTCTGACTTTCTCTGACTTTACCATTGGTCCATGACTGCTCAGGATATTGTGAACAATGGCCTACTTCCCTGCAAGGAGTATTTGTCCAAGGATGCCACATTTAAAAATAAAATAAAATGCCAAGAGTTCACCTCGCCATCCACCCATAGATGACCAGAATAATCTGTCTTGTCATCAGAGGTCATAACAAGAGGTTGCTGCAAGCATATACCTTGTACTGAGATTACATTACATTCACAGCACCTTAAAACAAACAAGAGATATAACCCCCCCTCTTTCCCTCCCTCCTTTCCTCTTCTTCCTCTGTCTGTCTGTCTGTCTGTCTGTGTCTGTCTGTCTGTCTGTCTCTCTCTCTCTCTCTCTCTCCTCATACACACACACACACACACACACACACACACACACACACACACAATTTGCTTATATAAAATAGTTATCTCATCCAACTGGGATTTTCTTGGATTATGAGATTTTCTTGAAGATCTAAAATGAGAATTGGAAGAAGGCTTAGGTAATGTAGAAGCAGGTAAAGTGACAATCAAACAAAAACAAGGATCTAGAGAAGCAAATAGTATATTTTTTTCTAGTACTTCTGATGTATTTGGGCATGATGTCTTCTAAATTTTTCTAAATGTTGAACTGATAATTTTAAGTTTTCACAATCTATTTTGTCTCTTTTCCTTCTCTAAAATTATTGATTTCATACCCATACCATCATGAAAGTTTAGCTGGCATACAGAAATGTGGTCCTATAATTTATATAGCATTAACATCCACAGCATTCATTTCCCTACCATTTCTATATCCACACCCTTTTTCATGTTTATCTGTTTCTTAGGATCTTGAACACTAGTAGATGACCACTAGATAGGAGTGAAGTCCTGTGTCTTAGTTTATCTTAGCCCAGATAAACTAATCCTATTTTTAAAAAATGAGAACCATGGAATGGAAAGAACTACATATATTTTGGTAACAACCAACATTTAGTGCATAAAGCCACTGTTAGAGTATTTATAGAAAATATCCATCCAGTCTCTAATTGAAGTCTTTCAGCAAAACAGAATCCACCACCTTTTAAGCCAGTGTATTCCATTGTTGAACTGCTTTTATTTGCTAGGAAATACTTTATGATGTCCAATGGAAACCTCCTTCCTTGTAATTTAAATCTATTATACTTGGTGTTTTCTTCTAGAAGGATACATTGTCTGCTCTGTTTTCTACATGATGGTTTTTCCAGGATTTGAAGAAATACTGTTCTTGTTCTCTTATTAGCTAAATAAGTCTAGGTCCTTTCTTCCAGGTGTTATCTTGGTTGCTCTTCTCTGGACTTTGTCAACCCTCTATGAATATTATTTCTAAAATTCAGTGCCCTGAAGTGAACATAATATCACAAGTGTGATTTGATGAATTCAGAATAGAAAGGAACAATGACATGATATCATTCATCCTATGCTTTTCCTGCCCAAATAAAGAAATTTATATTTGTCCCTTCTACAATATAATGCTTTTTGTTGATTTCTGTTCATTGTTCCAGGTTGTCAACAATTTTAATAAAGGTCTTGTTTTCCCTTCATCTTCGAATGATCACAAATCTGATAAAAATATTTTCCAGATCTTTGTTCATATTCATGTATAATATAAATATATTAAGCAGTACAGGGCCTAGAACAGAACCCTTTAGTATACTACTCATCACTTTCTCCCAGCATGATACAGAACCAATTCTATATTTATCTAGTAGGAATATAGTCCAGTGTATATTTTGCCATCTTTTCACTCTGCTGAAATCAAGATAAACCATGCTCATTGTATTCCTATTGTCAACTAAACTAGCAAAAGTCTAACAAAAGAGATCTGGCTAGTTTGGCAGGACTTTTCTTCATAAACCAATGCAAACTCTTACCAAAGCATTCATTTCTAAATACTTACAAATCAAGTATCTGTTCCAGAGATTTGCTTGGAATCAGTGTAATGCTGGCTAATCGGTAGCTGCCTTGATTCTGTTTTTTCTTCTTTAAAGATAGACACACCATTTCCCATTCTTTGGCTCATCAGTATTGTAACAAAACTGCATTTCCCATTCTATAACATTTCTTTGTGTTTGACTGTTGTTTGATCTTATTATTCCTCATTTAAAAAATAGCTGTTCCCCACATATTAGCCACACTATATAGATCTGCTATAGGTAATATCCCTCTGTAAAGATCTTTTATCCCTGTGTACACATAGTAGTTCATGCATGTGTGCACGCACGCACACACACACACACACACACACACACACACACACACACACAGAGAGAGAATAATTTCATTTTTTCTTGACTCTAGTTATATTCCAAATATAATATCACTTCTGTCCATTTGCACGTTTTCTCTCTCAATTCTTCAGGATGGTCTGCTCATTCTAAAACATCACAATAGCTAATTTGCTAGCATTGGCTTCTTATAGACAAGCATAATTGTGTAGTCTTTGTACCTATAAAATATGAAGGTAATGTTGGGAGACCTTTTACAATGCAAGAGATTCTATCTTGATTAATTCTATCAGTCTTATGAGCTTCCTTACACATTCCCAAAACTATAGTCTCCTGTACTGAACACAGCATACCTTGATTCTTCTTAAACCTCTAGACACCTTTGCAGCAAGGTTGTTTTGAGTCAGACTTGATGTGTTCAGTTGTGCAGCAAATTCAGCAGGCTATAGGGACTGAATGTTTTGTTAATAAAAAGGTCCCCAAGTAGAACAGAGAGATCGCCTGCTGTGGTAAATATCGATCCTAGGAAATAGGCAGTTATATGTGCTGTGTGCATGCAGATTTGGTATGATATATGGAAAATATTGGCTTAGTACTTTTAGTAGTACTTAAACCTTTTAGGCAAAAATGGTTCATTTTCATCTAATAATGATAAACCACACAACCATGGAATGGGGAAGGCTATAAACTTGTACACTTGTGTTGGATGGTATTTTCCAACCTATCACCCAACAAGGCTGTGACAGCTCAGACGTTCTGGAAATGTTAATTCAATGCATTTGAGGGAATCTGCTATAGAAAACTACCGCTGTCAGCCAGAAAGGGAAAGACTGAGCAAATTGGACCAGTGCCCTAGCTTAGCAGAACCAAATTCTTAGATTTAGAGGAGTTTCTACAAGGAATGTATCATGTGAACTGATGATTCAAGCTATATGGCAGATGAAAAAAGTTAGAGGTACATCTCGCAACTTAAGGGATTATAGACATTCTTGTGCCAAAGATCTTTTGCAACATGAACTGGCACTTTTTAAACTCGCTGTATTGCCAATTCTAAATGGGTGTGGATATAGAATTGGATGCACACTGAGTCGGGACCCGCCCCCATTATATACCTGTTACAACTTTAAGATGGGTCAATTTCAATTCCCAGAACTCCTCAGGTCTCAGGAGCAGTGGCTCTTAGCAGTACAGGAGCACCTGGTCTAGGATAGCAGAAATAGATGGAATTGAAAATTCTAGATAATTTTCCATCAAATAAAACATCATGAAGAATTTGCAGAAGAAATATTTTTTTTAATTTTTTTGGGATAGTATCCATCTATAAATATGTCCAGAGAAATATATTCAATTATTAAAGGATTCTTCATCATCATCATCATCATAATGTGAGAACAGACTGCAGGACTAAATGGATTTTTGGCCTCAGTTGGTACAGAGCTTATGCTGTTTTGTACTCTGCCTGAGTTACATGTTTAGCCCTTGTGAATCTGTTAAAGAGACATCAGTGAGGAAAGTTGCAGCTATTACAGTTCTATCTCTTCTGCTCGTCTCATGTTATAAAGCTGTCTCAAACAAGATGGCAGGAAGTAGATACGAAAGGAAAAAAGGTGAGGAATAAGAATCTGAGCCTGGTGTCCACCAAGGGTTTATGTACATATTTTTACTATTTGGTGGACATCCTAGTAGCAGTGAATAACTTTCTAAAATAATGATTTATACCCAGTCATTCAGATAGATTTCAGAGCTGTTGAGAATAACTTTTGGTCTTTTTTCCTCAGGCAAAAGAGCTTATAATGATCCTGCTTTTTCTCCCTCCAAAGGTATGACATTTAAATGTAGCTCTTTTCAGATATCACCCTGTAAAGCTATTGTTTCTAACATGAGTAATATGAACAGTTGTTTTTATTCTCTTGGGAAATATGCTATTTGTCCCCTTCATTTCTTTTCTCTTTCTTCTCATAGTATGATTCTTCCCCCCTGTTTTTACCTCAGAGGTAGCAATCCCACTGCTATTAGCAAGATGTCTATTATAGTGTCATTAAAAAAGCTATAGTCAGAGCATGGAATGACTCACATCATGGAGGAGTTAATAATTCACTGTAATAAAAGTATAAAGTTTTATGATAAACCACTCTCAGGGGAGTTAAATATAATCCTTAGTGGGTCACACACTGACTACAAAGCTTACATTTGTAATGGTAATTTGAATTTACTACATCACCTTTCGTTTTTTAAGCATTTTTGTGTCATTAGACCTTATAAATTGATTTATATGTTCAACTCTGGTATAATTCCACATAAAGGTAAAATAAATTTTATGACATGGAGATATGGCATCTAAAACATTTTTGGGGAAAATATTGTTATTAAACTAACTGAATTGGTGATGATGAACAGAGGTTAAAGAATGCCACAACCCATAATACGTAGGGGTTTATTGTAAGAATCTTAGCAAGCTACTTTAAATCCATAGCAGAATCCTCAGTTTTGTTCTTCCTGATCTTGTGCTCATCTTCTTAGGGTCTATTTTCTTGCCCAATTTATCTTTTTTCAACCTCCAGGCCTGAAACTCTTCTAGTTTCTTTTTCACTTCCTTCTGAACCACCATTCTACCGTCTTTCCTGATTTTTTTCAGTTTCCAAGGAAGCCTGAAGTTTCTCTCTTGATCTCCTATTTCATTTTAGCAACTCAGCTATGTTTCTTAATCAATCACATTAAAATCAAAACCTTGGGATTAGAGCAGTGTAGTTAAGTCAATCCCCTCCTAAGCTCAGTGCAGTTCAGTCAGATGCAGCTTGAGAATTCACTGCCAGGTCTGCCATATTCTTTAGTGCATTATCATAGAGGTTAACCAGAGAGGACAAATTCAGAGAGCAGAATATAGAAACTATATTAAAATATTTATCTGTCTTGAAAGATGCCATTGAATGATGTGCTAAAAGTCTTTATGTGTCTGTTGCTAACAAAGTTCCAGGTTTACTATCACAGTTCAGTGTTTTATATAGTGGAATTCATAAACAAGGTGGTATCTGATAAATTCAAATTTAAATAGCTGGATACTTGAAGGATATTATTTTACTTAACTAGAGTTATTTATTATTTTTATAAATAACTCAAGGTGGGGGAACACATGTAATACTCTTTCCTCCTCCCATTTTTCCCACAAGAACTCTGTGAGGTAGGTTGAGCTGCGAGAGGTCAAACAGCTAGCTTTCATGCTTAGGCAGGACTAGAACTCACAGTCCTCTGGTTTTGAGGCTAGTACTTAATTTCTTCTTCTTAATTTCTTTTCATTTCTTGCTCCTGTGGCCCACTCCGTTCAATGGGATCTATTGGTTCTAGAAAGGAAGCTTTTATGTCGCCAGGGATATCCACAGTGATTGTGTGTGTGAGAGAAGATAGTTGGGACAGTGGCTGTGATGATATAAGTAAAACCCTGGTTATTTACATGGGTCACGGATGAAAAAAATATATAAAAATATGGCAGTTAGTACGTGGTTGAAGCTGCCATCTTGACTTTTTTGACCCTCATATGCCAAACCCCCCTTGTATGTTGCAGATGGGAAGATGGAGGAGGAAACAACTTTCATTCACCATCTTATTTGGAGACAATCCTACGTATAGTGAGGATGACCTGAATAAAAAATGTGAAACACACCACCAGCTTTGATTGGGCTCTTAGCAAAATATTAATTCCAATTTCACATAGAAAGAAAATACAGCTTTCATTTTCTGTATGGTTGTTTATAGCCTTACTACTGGAAAACTTCAATGTTTGATTTTTGCTAGAAAAAAACCTGGAAAAAAAAAAAAGAAATCATCAAGGAAAACTTGTTTGAAATAATCAAGTGTCTTTTTCCTGCTGCTTTTCTTTACAACTGGTATAATTTCAACACTACTGTTCCAAAATCTATTGTCTAATCATGTGTGGTAAGCTTTTCCATAACAAAACTTGAAAAGATCCTTCTGTTCCCCCGTGAGCAGTTATCACTGTATTCCCCCATCACATTTGCACATTAGCAAAGCTTTATCCCATCATCATATATGGGTTTTTGTTTTGTTTTGTTTTGAAAGCACTGAGGTAACTCTCAGGTGGCATCTCACAAACAGTGAGTGGGTGTGTCACTTGCTAAATGACCCAGCCAGCTGGACAGAGTGAGGTACAATTTACTGGCAATGTATTAAAAGTGCCTTGGGAAATGATTCCTTTAAATGTTCCCACTACTGGTGCAATACAGATTAAGACCTTGGCATGAATCAGAAGAAAAATTAAATAATAATGACTTTTGGAAAGCAGGAGAAAAGATTAAAAAGAGCTCCAGTGTTTGAATAAGTGCTGCCAACTCTAATTTCAAACAGCCAAAATGCAGACACTGTTTTCATTGGAGAATATCAATGACCAGGCTGGTTCAATGCTTTTCTAGATGCTGCACAGATATCAACACTGATAATATAGGGAAGAAAGGTAGTTGAGTGAGCAGATTGTGTATTTTCAAGATCTATGATTTTTTTTATTTACTCCTTTTTTAAATCTCATTGTAGTGATGAAGTTTTTATTAAGAATGCTATCTCATATATCCATTATATTAAGAATAAGCAACTGGTGAATTTGAAGGAGCTGGATGCTTCAAAAGCAGGGGTGTCAAACTTGCAACATTATGTGATGTGTTGCAACATATCACAACCTTTTTTCCATTGCTGGCAATGGGGTGGGCGTGGTTTCGGCATGACGCATCCGGCCTGAGGGCTGGCAGTTTGACACCCCTGCTTTAAAGCATTTAAGATAAAAATTGTTGCAGATAGTCCTTGACTTACAACCATTTACTTAATGAGTGTTTGAAGTTACAACACAACTTACAATCTGTGCAGTTATGACTGTTCTAGCATTCCCACAGGTGCCCAGATCAAAATTTGGTTGCTTGGCAACTGGCATGTGTTTACAATGATTGCAGCATCCTGGAATCACATGGTTGCCCATTTCTGACCTTTTCAGGGGTTTTGATAAGCAAAGTCAATGGGAGAAGCTGAATTTGCTTAAGAACCACATGATTCACTTAATAACCATTGGAATTCACTTAACAAATGTGACTCACTTAACAACTGCATTGCTTAGCAGTGGAAATTCTGGCTTCAATTGTGGTTGTAAGTTGAGGACTACCTGTATAGAGCCGGGCCCTATCCTATTTGGGCCACTATCAGAGGGATGAATGGATGGCAGAGGGAGAATGTTGGAATTATGAGGTACTGTAGAAAGAATTTAGGTTTTGACCTGAAATCTGAATATTCTGGTTTCTGATGGAAGCTGTGTATGTTCAGATTCACATGGCTGAAATTTCTGAAGTTTTCCTAGGCAACATACTCATGAACTTTGTTCTAGGTAATGGAGATACCAAGAATGCTTTTAAGATCAGCACCAGTGGGCTGCTCCCACCTGATAAATTTATAAATGTTAAGTCCATTGAATTGCCATAACAAGTATTCTTTATAAAGAAACTAATTGCATAAATGGATATACATTCAAATTTTACAACTGCATGAGTCAGCAAGAAGAATCCCTGTTAACCCACATTTTACTAAACAAACCCATTAAATCAACTTATTTTGATTGCCAAAAACATGTTTTGAAAATAAAACCCAATTACTGACAATATACTGATCCTGTAAATTCTGCTCTTTTCAGATTAAATGATCCTTGCTTGAAATCATCAAAAGTAATAAAACTATTAGTAGGCTTTGGAATGTAACAGAAAATTGGAGAAAATAGTTGTCTCCCAACCTATACCTTAATAATAATGGAATCAAATAATAACATCAATAATTAACATGCTGATGACCATGATGAATTGTGCAAGTTCTTACTAATGCAAGAAATTAAAAAGAGATGGAAGAGGGCTCCAGTCTGAGTGCAATGATCTCCCTTCTTACTCTTTAAATCCAAGAATTTTGAAGTTAGCAGGAAGCAGCCAAAACTAACACTGAAGACAGTATATTGTTCTTTGGCTGCTTGGACATTATTAGATTATCTAATTCTAATCTTGTTCCCTCCCCTCAATCTTTTTAAATCTCAATTGAAAATTCTGGGGTTAACTTTTAAATCATTTAGTGCTAATAACCAGGTTCTTTAGGATTTTATTAAGCTTCTGTTTTGATTATACAGATTACTTATTTATTTAGCGTATGGCATATCATACATGGACTAGCATTATATAGTAACATTTCATCTAGATTAGTAAAACAGAATAAAATATAAATGTTAAAAAGATCTATGTTCAAATACCAGTGTCTAGGCCATCTAACCACTGAAGCACAATATTATACAGTATAAATAGGAAACACCAAAGATAGCAATAGATATTGGAGAACAAACAAAAGATAATATCTATTGTTTTCCATTCTTTATAGAAATGAAAATATGATAATTCACATTATTTTAATCTTTTATTTGTAGTATTATACCAAGATAGAAAATACAAAAGGTGCTTCTGATTAATAGAAAAATCAGCCATTAAACAGGGTTAAACTTGTTTGGAGGATGTGGGTTATACTTCCTGTGGAATCATGTTTTACTACTTTAGAGATCCACTGCTGGATCTCTTCTGGCTTGCCAACACTGCTTCTTGAAAGAGCACTATTGATACCAGCACACTTTCAGGAAACATACTTTTGATAAAATGATACAGAAATCAGCAGAGATCAGCCCTTGATGGACTATGTTACTTAATGCCAAAAAGAGTTACACGCTGTAATAAATACAATTGATATTTTCAAATGAAATAAAATGTATTGTCTGAATTGGTCCTAGATTTCATACTTTTTTCAAATGTGCTTGTTTTATAGTTGTGATGTTTCTGAAGATGGCAGTATCTAGCTAACTTTGTTTCAGTTCAGAAACTAGGCATGTGGACCTGGTTAGTAGTTGGCTGGGAGACCACCAGGGAAGCCCAGGGCTGTGAGTCAGATTAGGGAGTTTTAAAAAATCCATATAAAGGTCATGGCAAGCCCCTTCAAGTACTATTAGCATGGAAACCTCATGGGCATATTGATGTGATCAAGCCTGACTTACAGCCCTACCATCACTACACATTCTATATGTTCAATATTTCTGTTGAACTTTTACAATTTTATCATATTTTTTTAGCTTGTAATGTAAGCTGCCTTGAAATTGGATGCTGAAAGAGCAAGATTAGTAAACAAATAAAGGCACATTTTCTTTCTGAGGGCACAATAAACATATATAGAATAGAATAGAATAGAATAGAATAGAATGACAGCGTTGGAAGGGGCCTTGGAAGTCTTCTCGTCCAACCCCCTGCTCAGGCAGGAAACCCTAAACTTTATTTAGCTATGGAACAATTTTGGTACTACTATATCTTAAGAGTTAGGGTGCTTCACAGTATCAGTGAAAATAAAGGCAAAAATAAAACCTTGACAAACAAAAACCATCTATTTACAGAGATTGCTGGGTCCACCACCCACACTATAATCTTATTAGAAGAGTATAATTTATACAGTCTTATAAAAGGCAGGGTGAGTGGGTGATCCCAAAATTTAAGGGACAGTGTGTTTCATAATATGGGTGCCACAAGAAAAAAAGGAGAAATAACTGCTCCATTAGAACATAAAGTTTCCCTCCCTACCACATCAAAGGGAGATGGGGCTTTGATCACACAGTCAGGGCCACCTCTTGACTTTTTTGACTACTTTGAATACTCCTGGGTCTTGATATATATTTTTTTCAAACATCATTTTAAAAAATGGATGCTGCACAATTTATTACAGTGCAGTCAGCACTTAAGACAGGATTGAAGAAATGGTCTAGAGCATTGAGAAGAGTGTAAGACTTCTGATAGTGCCTTGGCCATGAAAAATCCTCATAAATATTTCCTTCCTCACCTCATTCTGCACTCAAGTGGATTTGTGGCTAGTTACTAAAGGTACTGGAAGCAAACAAAAATATCTGAATGAATGAACATCTTCGGAGAAGTTCTGGAGGCCTTTCTCAGTCTGTTCTCTGGGGGTCAGCAAGTTTAAGGTATTACAGCCACTAAGTGAAAATGAAAACTTCAAGAGGCTTACTGTCTGTCACTGCCATCACTAAATCTTTTTTCAACAATCCTGGGCAGTGAATTATGGAAGCATGGAATTGACTTACACTTCATTTCAAGCGATAGTCAGTTACTCTGTCAAACACAACAGCATTCTGGAAAAGCCTATAAAAATATATGACAGGCGAAACCAGCAGCCTCCTGTTCTTTTTACATGGGTATCATGTTTAAAAGCATTGTGCTGGTGTGTAGTCCCATGCCTTAGGAAACAGATCTAGAGGTCCTATTGATGGACAATTTTAGTTTTTACCTTTTTCATTAGAAAGCAGGTCACTTGCTTTTTTGACTCTCTCTGTCTCTCTCTTGCATCAGAGGAACAATTACAAGAGTAAGACAATATGGCACATTCAGGCAAAGTACCATATTCTGGGCTGTTTGTACTGACATATGATTCTCTCTGAATTCAGTATAAAGTGTTTTCCTAACAATCTTGTTAAACCTGTGGCCTTATGGGCAACGAGGAACCCTAAATTAAAGGGTTACAACTAGGGCTGAAAGGTTTATGATAAGATATTGTTTTCTCACAGTAACAAATATAGCATATATCATGGCACATTGTCAAAGACTTGGGCATTTCATGATCAAATATGAAATATTTATTAATCTGAGAAGCATTTTGAATTCATTTCCAGGCTTCGATACAACTGCTACATTGTGACACTATAAACAAGGGAGAGAGAAGTCCTGGGATTGCAGGAACCAGAAAAATAATAAAGGCAGGAGTAGTTCTTCCGCTGTCTCAGTGGTGTGAGCTTTTCTTGGAGAAAAAAGCAAACTGCTAACTGTCATGGATGGAGAACAAATTGAAAACTCATAATTTTAAATGAAAGACAGGATCTAGTATTTGTATCTTTTATGGATGAGGGGGCTTGATTTCTATTTGTCTCCATCCATTTTTCTTAGGTCCTGGGTCCAGCCATAACATGTTCAGTTCAACTCTCTCCTACTATACAATAAATTGTTTTTCCTTGAGTATTGAAGAAGGAAAACAGTAATCTTTAATCTTAATTCTTGACTCAGGAATGGTGAAGAATTGTACCTGGCTTACATTTTGAAGCAAAGTGAATCTGACTCACAAAAACCGAGCCAAATGAGTATATTAGAATTCAATTTTTCTTGAGTTTGCCAAGTCATCAAATTGGGCAGTGCTTATTCTGGTCTCAAAATCTGTACATGGAAGTGCTTGTGTTAGGAAATGCTACATGCAAACATCCAAATGTTAGGAAAAGATCGTAAAATTGGCTACATGAAGAGAAAATTTTGATGTTCATAGACAGGAGAAAAAAAAATCAGGGACAGAGAAAGTAGTAGAAACTTGATTTGATGGAATGAATGAATATCAATGGAAAGAATATGAATTGATGCACTACTGCTAACATATTCAATAACTGTCACATTTGCTCTTCTTACAAAGGACTTAGGGCAGCATACTTATTACTCCCTATTGTGTTTTCACAAGTTCCTTGTGAGGTAGATTAATCTAAAAATTGTTCAGGGTGACCTGGAAACCATTATGGAGCAATGGAGATTATTACATCATGTAATTTGATCCCCGATACAAAACCAACCAACCAACAACAAACATGAGAAAAACAAGGTTTTTCTGGGTTTCCCTTACATTTCTTCTTCTTTTTTAATACATAAAAACATTTACATGTGCAATGTTGATAATGGGATTGGAAGTCACACATTACATGTTAATACCTGCAAACTTTATTATGTCATTCACTGCAGATGCAGATCAAAGCTTGAGAGAGGAAGAAAGCTGAAAGCCTATTCACCCTTTACTGCAGTGCTTCCCATACCTGGGTAAATTAGCCAAAATTGAGTAAAAGCAGTTTTTCTTTAGATAATAATACACAAAGTCATATGTTTTTCTGTGCAGTTAATGTTTTACTTGCATTACATAAAAAGGATTTTTGGATAAGCAGTTTTAGATGACGAAGAAGCACTGCATTACAAGGGGTCCTCAATTTATGACCCCAATTGAGCCCAAAATTTAAGTTAAGTGAGAAATTTGTTAAGTGAGTTTTGCACACTTTCATGACCTTTCTTGCCACATTTGTTAAGTGAACCACTGAAGTTAAATTTGTAACATGGTTGTTGTTGTGTCCTGAGCCTGCAAGAGCTGAAAGCAGAATTGTTTGCAAATGGTTCCGGGCAAACCAAAAGCTGCTGGGACCAGACAGAGTGGCGCTGGCCTTGTGCGCATGAGCAAGGCGTGAAAATGGTCAATTCCTATTGGTTCACACTGTCCGGGTTTCAGGCACTATAAAAGGCCTGCGTGCCTTTTTGCTTTTTGCTTGATTATAGGAGAGAGAAATAAAGAGCTTGTTGTTTTCACCATGTGTCTTCGTCAATTGCCAATGAACCGAAAACACAACACTGGCGATGAAGGTGGGATCCCTGCAAGCAAGGAAAAGGATTAGGACTCACCAAGGAAGTCCTGACGATTGGGAAGATGGCGTCCTGCATTCGCAACTCAGCCTGCCAGTACAACGTCGCTGTAGGTGAGCTCGGCAAAAGGACCCTTTCCCAAATCTTGGCTTGCAGAGGAGGCAATTAGTGAAGACTGTTAAGTTGGCGATGTCAAAGATTGACCGTTTGACTGATTTTGATGTCTCCCACCCAGAGAGATGAAATTCATACGTAGCACAGGTGGAGAACTACCTTAGAGTAAATCAAATAAGAGAAGATGGCCTGAAGGCAGCAACTCTTTTGTGTGCCTGTGGACAGGAAGCTTTTGACATTGCGGAAAATCTAGTGGCCCCTGCACTTCTGGAATCAGTATCGTATACTGACCCGAAATTATCTGTTATCGCTTGGAAGCACGCATTCGAGCAGAGAGACCAGAGGCCGGGTGAATCTGCTGTGGACTTTATTGCTGCCTTAAGACAAGTGGCCAGGCCTTGTGAGTTCAAGGATCTGGAAGAGAGGCTGCACAATCATTTCATGTGTGGCTTAAGAAGCATAGACCTACAACAAAAGATCCTCGCAAAAGAAGATGTCTCCTTCCAAGACGCATTAAGAGAGGTGGCAGCTGAAGAAGCAGCAGGCGGCACTGTGAAGGCTTTGCAGCTCACCAGGAACCCTCCAGCCACCACTACCGTCCATCAAGAGGACGCTCGGGAAGAATCCGAAGTGGATCCTGAAGAGGAGGTGGACAGACTTTACCAGCCAGCAGAAAGAAGGCTGAAGGGGCGTCCAGACAAGGCCACAGCATCTCTTCAGTGCTTCAGGTGCAGAGGACGCCACAAGCGAGCTGACTGCAGGTTTCGCTCCGCCATTTGCTGGGCGTGTGGCAGGCAAGGCCACATTGCCTCCATTTGTTTGGGTCGCCAGAAAGTCCAACCTCGGGAAGAATTGCTTCAGAAAGGTACCAGGGTCCCCAGCCAACACAGGGTGGGTTTCTGCACATCACACAGGAGTATTCTAAGGACAGGGACACACAAGCCCCTTAAAAAAAAACTTCACATTAACATGAAGTTGCAAGGGGTTCCCTTATTGATGGAGCTGGACATAGGGTCTGCTCTATCAATCATTTCAATGGACACCTTTAAAAGGATTTGCAGCAGTAGTGGTCTTCGAGTTAAACTCAGGCCATCGAATCTAATACTCACTGATTTTC